ATAGGTGAAGGATTCCAACGCTTTCATTTTTTGGTGTAACTGTATTTTATTTTTAAGGCATGTTTAAATACAATTAAATTAAAATTATTAAATCAATACAATCTAAAATATAAACAATCAACGTCCCCCCTCAGCGGGCCACGGTAAAATTATCAAACGTTGACCGGTCCGCGGCGATAAAAAGGTTGGGGAGCACTGTCCTAGATGGTTCACTTCTCCTGGCTTCTCCAAACTCTTCACCCTTTTGTGAATAACCCTCTTAATAGTTACCATAATGTAATGATGGTAGCTGAACTTGGGCCGGGGAACAGTACATGCTCTCGCCAAACAATACTGCAGCCACTATTATCTACACTGAAGCAAGTCTAGAAGCTTCTAGAAATCATTGCTATGTCAGCAGAGACTTCACAAACTCTGCTGCTCTAGTATGTTTTCACTGGGAGTCCTCGTCAGGCTTGTTCTCACCAGGCTCACTTGAAAAGGTATGTAACTATGTACATTACCTTAGGAATTAAACAACTTCTGACCTACATACTGCATGTTTGGTGTGATTATCTACATTATGTTTAACATTGACTGGAGTGCTTCTAAAAGCAGCAGACATTCCAACTTTAACCCCTCTTTGAGAATTATCTTGGGCTTCTCTTTTACCTTTTTAATATACCTATTTAAAAATACCTTGTTACAAACTTAAAACATTGCAGATAAAAGCACAGAAAAGTCAAGTTTCTTGATTGTACTGTGCAGGACAGAGGCAGATTCAGAGATAACTGGGTAATATGCAGGTATAATCAGGTGACTGGACACTGGCTAGAGCTATGAGGACCCTTATATAAGCCCTCCCACTCTCAAGAATCCTCTGTTTTTTTGCTAGTGTCCTTAGGTGATGGATGTCTCCACTTTACTGAGGTATATGTATGTAGTTGCTTATCTTGTTGCTACAATTCTTCACTCCAGTTTTCCTCTGCTGTGGGGGCAACTGCACAGCTTCTAAATCAGTGCCCAATGAAAAAAGCTCCAGAGGCCATACCCAGACTGTGCTGGATGGAAGATGCAGGACCAGCCTGTGATGTCATTTCAGGCACTGAATTATGCGTTGACGCCCAGCTTGTTACGTGGTGTAGCATGTTGGGTTAAGCGCAGGATGCTATAAAGGTCCATGGCAGTGGTGTATTCGCTCCAGTGTGACCACGTCCCTAAAGAGTGAAGCCACCCCACCCTCCCGGCTGTGGGGTGCTTAGCTGGTGCATGTACAGTTGCACATACATGGGCCATATTGAAACTCAGAGAGAACAAGCACGATGGTCATATTACTACATCTGCACAATCCTGGGCACATGCAGGAGGGGGAAGTGGTGTCCTCATGCACAGAGAGCACATCAGCTTCCTGAAGACTGCTGAAACAGTGAGGGGGACCCTAGTTAACCCTTTGCTGCCAGTCAGTGCATATCCTGTTGTGGCCCCTCACCATGGAGATCTTATATGCCTGATTTATCCTACCAAACAAATGATTATTGCTGCACATGGCAGACAGGATGCGTTGTGACATGCCAGTGGGTAGTTTAACGAACCAATGTTCATCTATAACTGAAACATCAATTTGAGCTGTGAACTGTATATTGTCTCCACTTTCACCCCAAAAAAATAGATGCAATGAAATTATTTCATTTGTAATTTGTTTATATTGTAATTAATTGCTGTTTTTCCATTTAGTTTAGACCTCACTTTGGTCCATCAAGTATTTCCCAGTCTAAGGATGATGACAGTACTCCAGTTGTAATTTCTGCCACTACGTCTGGATCCGGTACATTATCCACACAGAAGCTGGTAATGATTCGCTTCAACTTTTAATCTTCTGCATCAGATATCTTTTATATGTATTAAAATCAGATTATAACTTCCTGTTTATAGTAGGGATGCACCGATACTGTTTTTTGTGGTATCGAGTACAAGTACCGATATTTTCTGGTGCTCTATAATACTGATACCGGCATCCCGGGGTACCGTGGGTCCTGTTTATCAGGAAGCTTCCTGATTGCCTGGAAAGCCTGTTTTATCGAAAGAACTGCTCCGGCTTCGCGTTCCGAGGTAGCCTGGCTTCCTGACCAATCAGGAAGTTGGCCGGCGGGTCATAATGTGCTGCCTGGCTTCCTGATTGCCTAGCAAGGCAGCTTCACTTGTTGCTGGGCAGCCTGGCTTCCTGACCAATCTGGAAGCCGGGCGGCGGGTCATGATGTGCCACTCGGTTTCCTGATTGGTCAGGAAGCCAGGCTACCTAGTAACAAGTGAAGCGGCTTCCTAGCCAATCGGGGAGGTGGGTCATGACCCGCCGCCCAGTTTCCTGATTGGCCAGGGAGCCGGCTCCATGTTCCCTCACGATACTCACCCTAATACTCGGTATCAATACTGATATTGGTATCGGTGCATCCTTGGTTTACAGTCCTGAAGGATTCTGCCCTTAGCAGTGACTTTATCTGCACAGGGCATGCCCCAAACTATATTTTTAAATGAGGTAAAGTGTTTTCTAGGTTTTAGAAAAGTTGCCTTGTGTGCAACTCTGGGCATTCCCTTCTTTGGGGATTTTGGATACTAGTAGGCATTTTACCAAAACTGGAAAAATGAAATCTGAACTCCGGTCACTATCATTGAAATAACATTAGAGGTGTTGGTAGCTGGTTACCCCTGCTGTGTAGCAATTCAGTCCTTCTTTTCTTTTTAGAGTTTAAAAACTAGGCGTTTGGTTTTGCCAGACAGCACACCTCCCACTGTACTTCTTCTAACCTTACTTACAGTGACACACATGGAACGATATGTTGTATGTAGATCTGCAATGTTTATGTACACAGTACAGAGAGAATTCTACCCAACAAATTATGATTGTGTTTTATTTTCATTCACATAGTAATGTAACCTGTGGGGTTGCCTTGGGCTTTAACAAGAACCTTTATGGACACATCATTATACAGCACTTACTATACAAATGTGGACTAAATAGCAGATTTTAGACTTCTCCTGATTCATTATGAATATGTGTACAATAAATAAAAAAAAAAAAGCTATAATTCGGTCTTCGTTTCTGATGTTTTATTATAACTAGTTATTTAATGTGTTATAGTAGAGACTGCAGAGTAGCCATCCTGACCTGGCATGTAAACGTGACATTTTATCTTTTTGTATTTCAGCCAATGACAAGAGTTGTAACATCCGCACAGCAGAAGGCTGGAAGGACTATAACAGCCCGGGTGACTGCGCGCTCAGATCTAGCACAGAAGATCAGTAAGACTGGCGCTAACATCACCTCTATGGGCGTTTCCCCACCAATGAGCTCCATTGTGGTTGAGAAACATCATCCAGTTACTCAGGTAATCTGATCTGTAACTACTTTACATTGAAATACAGAGAATTTGTAGTCAAAGTCTTGGGTTGGCCATATAGGGAATAATTCTTATCAGCCGGTATGAAGCCGGACAAAGATTCAGCAAGCTGTGGCCATAGCTGTTAGTTTTGTGTGCAAAAACAACCTAATAAGGATACACGGTCACATGGACAATAGGACTTCCAACAGGACAGCAATCCATTCTGGTGACAGATGTTGTCATTTGTGATTAGTCACAGAGAGGGTGCTATGGGGTCACAGTGACATAATATACATGTACGGATGCACATATATTGTAGCTGTCTATGGTCAGCTATAGTCATGAGCAGTTTAGTCTCTAGTAGTATTTTCCCTCCCATGAATCCTAATTAAATTAATATGTATCTTTGTTATAGTGTATATATTGCCTTGGTATGTTGTGAGGGGATGGCAATTACAGTTTGTTCTTTAATTGGCTTACACACACACACACACACACACACTTCATTGGCTCAGTCACATCTTAGCCACACAAGTATACAATACGCTGTTATGTATGTAGGACTTCTCATAGCTTTTCAGTGACGATAATGGCTCTGCAAGCCTTGGCATACCATTCTGTTGACCATTATTCAATGAACACATCCAATTACCCTTTACTAGTTTTGATGTGAATATCCTAAATCTGCAGTACACTTATTTGATCCCCCTGCTGTCAAGCCGAAGCACATTCACAATCACTTCTACTTTCCATTGTCTAATCACTTGGGTGCAGGAGCTGATTTTATCCTGTGTACACTAAGACGCTACAGTCAAGCCACAGTGCTAGATCCAGAATAGATGTTCTGCTGCTCGGCTCTCTGATCAGAGAGAAGCTCCTAACACTCTGAAATATTTAGCGCACTTTGAAAGTGTTTGAAGTGATTGCTTTAGATTCATCGACAGTCTCCTTGTTTAGAAATCTTTTTCAATTATTTACCTGTTGTTTTTTCCCAAGAATCATTTTATTCTTGAGAACTCTGTGGATGACGAGAGAATTAATGATGCTGGATAAGATTTGATCTGAAGCAGTTTCTGGTCATTCATTTTTGAGATGGTGGTCATTATATATGTTTGGCATATATTTGCGCTGTGATTTGTGTGCACACGCAGTTCTAACAGCATACTAATAATACATATCAGATATGGGACCACATCAGGGTTTTAGTACTTTTGATTGACTTTTTTGTATCCTATAAAGTAAAAGTTTTTTTTGTATTACAAATATTTGATGGGGACAATATAATGGTATATTGGTGCTAATACATTTATTGTGACCATGTTATGACCATGGATTTTTGTGCTTGTATAAGTGTCCTGGGAGTTTAAACTGTCATTTTGTTTGACCCACCTTGATACCCTGATGACTTTAATGGGTCATTTTCTAAGAATGTATTTGTGTCTTTTTAAAGCAAACAATCGCTCAGGCCACGGCAGCAAAATACCCCCGCTCAGCGTTGCAGAGTTCCAGCTCCATGAGTGGCAGAGGAACTGGGCACAGTACACGAGCAACCCAAGTTTACAACAGTGTCCATTCCATAAAAGTCGTCGAATGATCTCCTTCGGCCACAGATTGGTGAGAGAGAGGAAAGTCTCGGAACCCATCCGACAGTGTGGCTATCATATCCCCACATGAGGTCAGGTGTGATTGGTTCTACCTACACCTCTGTTTTATATATTTTTATACCTGTCTTTCTGCTTGCAGTGATGAAGAGTGCCTTAAATTTGTTGTATAATTATCACCAATGTATTTTTATGTGTGTTCAAAGTGCTCTGTTTGCCAAACTAAATAGACCTGTTAAAGGGAAGTGTCAAAATACAGTTAAGGCTCCAACCTTGTTGCACCGTGGGAGGTGGTTTTGCCCAGCCTCTGGAATCATTGATATTTCTGAGGTGGGTTCATCGCTGTATGTAATGCCGCTTGGATATGGTGTGCCCTGAAGCTGGCGCCCCTTCTAGGATGTGGAAAGCTTCCACGCTGGACAGGAGGCTCAGTGCTAACAGAGAACAGGTTCCCTTTAACTTAAACAGAGCATGGAGACAAGTGGCTGCATTTCATCTTAAACACAGACATTTCAATACTGTTTTTATATGTCACTCTTTGTATTTTATTGTTTTATAATAAAGAATATTTTTATTATGTTTTGTGTTGTCAGAAAGCCATATGTCTTTAAAGAATAAGTAAGGACCATTAAAATGTGATTATGTGCTAACACCGCTCCAGGTCAGTCTGCATACACCAGCCATGATAAAGGTGCAGGTCTGGCATGTCCACAGCCACCAGAATATCCATGGAACAAAAGGGAAAGGCCGCTCACTATCACTGTAAGAAGACCTTCCTTTATTCACAAGTCAGCAAAGGATAAAAGCTTTGACAAGTTCCTTAAATAAAGAAACGTTTTTTTGTGATATGAAATGCCTTTACTACTTCCACGGGGACAGGTTCCATTACAGGACAGGTTAATTTACAGTCTATACAGGCACATGATCCTCATCTTGGTGTCTGTAGAAAAAATGCATACTATTATACATCCATGTTGTAGTCTCAAAAAAAAAGCACCGTCTGCTTAAAATATGGGCAAATGAAAATATGTTTTACTATGTTCCCATATTGTTTTGGGTTCTGGCAATATATGGTAGTTGGAGGCAGGAAAACTACAGCAAACACCGCACTGTATTTTGGGGACCCCTAAAAATGGGAAGGTAGTAAGCACACCTGAAGTGCATTAAAACCATACAAAATCACATGTTGACAACACAAAAGCTTCAATTCACAAAGCTTTAGCACAAGAATAAGGATCTTTATTTTGGCCACGTGACTGTAATTTTTCTCATCTCAATACTGTCAAGATGGGGATCCCTATCCTGGTGTGCTGGCTTTGTGAATTGAGACGAAAGGGTGAATGCGGTTTTCATTACATGACATGACCCAGAGTACCCCATGATGACTACTGTGAGTGTTGTATTTCAGCACAGTCTCTGTAGGAGACAATTCCGGTGTGTTTTTATAGCCCTGTATACATAACTACAAAACTACTGAATTACCGTACACTGATCATTTCTACAACTGTATTTCTTTTGAAGGGCGCTGTGTCATTTACATACATTTATTATAAAATGCTTATAAAACACTAGAGTTGGAAAAGCAGCAGTGTATTAAAAATGAGAAGTTATTTTACAACAGAATAAAAAAAGATACATGGAGAAGTAGCTTATAGACTATTTGAAGGTGCTGATTTGTACAATATATACATTAAAATCTGTACGCAATGTCAAGTAAAGCGACCCGCTCAGTCTTCCCCATAACAATATTGTAGGCTCTAGAAGAATGCAAGAGAGAAATCGGTATGGGCAACACATCCTGTTCTTGTGATCAGGCACTCATACAGGAAACACATTTCACAAGTTTAAGATCATATAGAGTTGACGTCAGAGGTCCATCTACAGATTGCATACTGTCCAATTCCAGGCAAAACGTTTTTCTGCTTGGCAGATAGACATAAAACCTGAGAGAAATTTAAATTTTCCCTCGCTCTATACAAAAATAGAAAAGGGGCTGGCATTGAGCTTTAAATTAGATTTGTATGAATAAGATTACATAGGTTTCCTATGAAATCAATCATATATGCAAATCTGGATTGGATCAGGTCCATTACAATGTACAGATTAAATTCTTAGTGCCTACTGGAGACTATACTTAAACCACTGAACTGATGCACAGAGCCCATATCTTGTACCCATCGGTTCTCCTTCTTACACTAGGTAGTAGTAGTTCAGTGCAAGGACATTATTATTATACAGGATTTATATAGCGCCAACAGTTTGCGCAGCGCTTTACAATGTAAGGAAGACATTACAATTCAAGACAAGATGGTATGGAGGGTCCTGCCCCTGAGGGCTTACAATCTAAAAGGGAGGGGGAAGCGATACATGAGCAGGTAGCTGTGTGAGGATTAATTTTTTTTTACGAATGTGATGGTTGAGTGGTTAGGTTGAGGTGGGATAGGCTTCCCTGAAGAGATGAGTCTTTAGGGAACGCCTGAAGGCAGTCAAGGTGGGAGACAGTCGGACATTATGATATTCCACCTGAGTAATCTTTCCAGCAATACCAATGATGTTGACATGGTATATTCCCAGCATGGAGCAGTACATGGTTCCTGGTTGAATCTGTTCATGTTGCTCATTGTCCATGATCATGAAATAATACACTTCTTAGTCTGTACACCATCGCTGCACTGTGCTCTAAAGGTTTCTGTAAAAAATTATGAAATAAACATTCTTTACATTTCCATTGTTAAATAATGTTAGTAACAGAAGTGTAAGTTGCCAGAGGAAACATAAATAAAGAGATGACCTATAAAGTAGATCAGTGGCCAGCTTGGTGACCACAGACTGATAACTCCATACATTTGTTAACCCCTGATGTATGTAGATAAGAGGAAGCAGATGACCCAGCAGCCCTTACAAAAACCTTTTCCTTAAAACGGAATTTGTTTTGGCTTTTTTTTTTTTTTCTGTTCAATACCAATGCAAGCAGCTTCCAGCAGAACCCGAACTAATAAAACTAAAAGGTTTTCAGGGGCTGATCTCTAGAGGTAAGGAAAGGGGTATTTAGAGATTTCCTTGAATTCATTTTAGAAGAAATTTACAGGGTTATTCACTAAAGGGTGAAGAGTTTGGAGAAGGCAGGAGAAGGGAACAATCTAGGACAACAAAGCTGATTTGGAAAAATTCTCCAATTCTGCTCACTTTCCAGTTCAGCTATGTTGTCCTAGATTGTTCACTTCTCCAAACTCTTCACCCTTCTGTGAATAACCCTGCTAGACTTCTGCAGACTGTGCAGTAATTCTCCTAGGATAAGTTGGGGCAAGCTTTACATTTTAATTAACAAATCACATACCATGGAGAGATGACCATTACATAAGACAACCACTTGAGTCCCTGGGCCTTTGTCCAGTGAGTCTAGGAGTGTTTTTTTTTGCTTTTTCACGAGAATGCCCTCCATTTGGATCCTCTGGAGTAGTCGAAGAAGGAGTATCGGAAGGGAAGAGGCATAGATCAGGATGTAGTAATTACGTGGAGTCCATTAGAAGATCTCTGCATCTGAAGACAAATCTGTCTTTTCCTAGGTCCAGGCATTGATGGCTGAGGTCTACCTGCCAGTTGTCCATGTCTGGAACGTGACTGGTGGACAAAGACAGAACGTAAAGTTCTCCCCAGACTAGAGTCCTATGTTCGTCTTTTGCCATGACAAGACTGTTAGTTCCTCCCTGGTGATTGATGTAGATGATCATTGTGTCCAGGGATAGTGATTGATTCCTAACTACATGTTATCGTATCACATACAATTACATGCGGTGTGTCAGCATTCTGCTGCTTTCAAATGCAGCCGCTGTCACCTGATCCTTAATTCGAACGGGTAGCAGCGGCTGCTTGTAATTGGCAGATTAGGGATTCCCACTGCAGGAAATTGCAAGTTCTTGCCACAGGAATGCATAATTGCACCACTTGGTAGGTGTGAATGATTGCTAACTTCCCTTGCAAATAGCAATACAAGAAGCAGCTACTCACACTGAAAAAGCAAGAACAGAGCGGAGTGCGCGTGCAACCCTCAAGTTAGTGGTGCTGCACTTAATTGTCCAGCATGCTCACCCTTCATTGACTGGTCCATTTTTTGTTTTTAAAGAATAGGTCTACTTTAAAGATGTTACACTATCTCTAGCTAAATATAGTAGGCATATGGGAATCAATGTATTTACCAGCCATCTGTTGATGTCCCATTCGAACAAGTTCTTCATATAAAGCCTTAATTGGATTTTCTTTTCTTAGCAAAATCCCATGTAACCAGATGAGTAACATCCTATGGCCATGCTCCTTGTAACTTGCTTTACCTGAGGAAGAAGATAACATTACATTTCTGCCTGGTGGTCAAGAAGATCTGTTTTGGTTGGTTTTTTTTATGAATGTTTTTTTTTTCTTCTTTATTTTGGTTAGTGTGGGAAAGGTTTAAAATTTCTGCTAGATTTTAATTTCTGCCTGTGACCCCCATTGGGGAGATTTTTCCTCACTTCCTGTCTAAGTGAGAAAAGATGTTTCACTGAGATAGGGAAGCACAGACTGAAATTAAAACATAGTCAAATGTTCTAACTAATGATGCACCGATACTAGTATCGGTATCTGTGCCGATACTGAGTATTTGGGTGAGTACTCGTACTCGCCCAAATGCTCCGATACCCGAACTTCAGGTCAGAGGGAGATTTCCTCTAACTGGCATAGCCACGAAGGAACATGGAGCCGGCTTTCCAGCTGATTGGCTGGGAAGCTGGCTACCCGGCCAATCAGCAACGAGCCAACCAAACAGTATGGAGCTGGCTTCCCGGCCAATCGGGAAGCCAGGCGGCAGGTAATAACCTGCCGTCTGGCTTCTTGGTTGGCCAGGAAGCCTGCTCCATGCCCGCCAAAGTATCAGTGAGTACCGAAAGATAAACATTGGTATTTGTACTCAATATTGAAAAACCGGTATCGGTGCATCCCTAGTTCTAACCCTTCCAAACTCATACATCAATTTGAAAGAGACAGGTCACAAAAGTAGGATCTATTGCTGTGTCCTTTCTACAGAAAACCAGGAATATCTGCACAACCAGGAACATGGTTTCATCCTGTATTAAATATTTGTAAACTAATCAAATAGCAAGTACATAAATAATAAAAATGTTATCAAATATCAGTTAAAAAAAACCTTTAAATATAAAAAAGTAAAATAAAATTCACCAGAGATCATTATCGTTTCTCTCTAAAACCAAACTCCAGACACATTTTTTTTTTTTAGCCTTGGATAGACTTATGTCTAAGTAAATACTTCTGTCACGTTTTTATTGCTGTCTGTGACTCCTTTGGGGAGTAGTTGCTACCAAGGCAGGAAAACACATACAGTACTAATAGCTAATTCCCCATTTTGCTAAACGAAAAAGTATCCCATTGCAGTCTGTGATCCTCACTAAAGAAATTTCTCATTGCTTTATGTACATAGGAAGTGAGGGAAAATCTTCCCCAACAGAGACAGAGACCACAATAAAAATCTGGAAGAGGTTCTCATCCCTTCATTCTGTCTGAAGATAAAAGGAACGTTTTAGCTGGAGTTTGGTTTTATTCATCTGTGCACTTGACTTTGCTCAATAGTACATGGAGTTGAGTTTACACCTAGGCCAATTTAATGTTATGTTTCCATATTAATGATAAACATACATAACATTATTTTGAAATATTACTGACAATCTTCACCAGTTTAATCTAGCTCGGTTCCTCTGAGTATCTTTCATGGTGCACCGTCCACCCTGGTGACAGGGTCAAGCTTTACCTGTCCATTGTGTTTCAATGGCTTTAATTTGTGGCTCGGTGAACATCCACAGTATCGCTAGAGTCTTCCATTCATCAGGCTTTAGCTGCTCATACGCCAAACTCCAAAGAGCTGAACGGACATGGCTGGTCTGTAATGAGTGGTCTTGTTTGAATGTCATAAATTCCTCACAGCTAATATCTTCTATAAGCCCCTGCTAGTGATACAGAGCAAAAAAAAGATGCATAAGAGGAAAAAAAATCTAAATTCATCATGTTAATAAATGTATCAAAAATGTTCTGTGATCGGCATACTGGACGTCTCACCCTCCCGCCAATACTAGGAAATGGTAGTATTGTTCATACAGGAGAGGACAGCTTATCACAAGAACTGTATGGAAGAATAATCCCCCTGACTAGCATAGGAACTGTCTGTATTGCCCCAAACAATTCATTTGTTTCACATTTTCATCTTCCACATAGTATTTTCCAATGCAAGTGTGAATATGACTGGTTGAGCAATATGAAGGTTGTTAATTCAGAAACTTTGAAAAATAAGGTCTCTGAATTTAATAAAACTTTAGATGGGTATATAGACACAAATTGCTGCAGCTATATATTCATTAATGGAACATTACATTTATATTTTTAAATATAAAATCATATTTAAACAAGCAGTGTAAATACAAATTAGACTTGGTATCAGCCTATTACAATCCATGCACAAGAGAGCTCAGACTAGGGGAGGGAGAGAGAGCACAAGCGGGCAATCAGTTGTACTGCAGTGCTCATGTGCATTCACTGCCCAGTCACAGGCCAGAGAAGTGGGGTTTTGTCAAAAGAACTGTAAGGATTACTTAAATGCTCTGCTCTCTCAGAGCTCTGAGGAAGGGAGGATTGCCCCCAAAACGCATTAGCTGCTTCAGATTCTTGACATTCTGTGGTGGTCCATCATCATCAGATTGGCTTTTTAGAAGATCCAGGCTGTTCAGTGTTGGACATTCCATTGGATATGTGAGTAGTTAGCTGCTCTGTGTTTGATCTTATTACTAATACTGTAATGTTATTACACTAGGAGAAGGCGTTGGTTTTTCTGTTTTCTTTGCATAAACAGATCAATGTATAAAAGGAACATAAATGAATTGGACTTATCTGTGCATCATAGCTGCAAAGCATCATCTATAAAGTGGATGTTTTTTGTGTGTACCATCAAGGCGCATGCTACTGTGTTCTAAAGAATTCTCACAGTATTATTGCTTCTTACCTTTTTGCATGTGTTGTATCTTTCTGCTTTAATAATCATATCAGCGATCAGGGTGTGATTGCTTCTTTCCGCTACTCCTAGTGCCGTTTTACCTTGCTGCCAAAGTAAAAATAAAATGTGGTCATAAAGAACCAATGAATTCTGACATGTCACAACAACAACAAAACATCTTTTGATGTGAAATTATTAATTAGTCTGCCAAGCCTATATCATATTATAGGCTTAATAGACTTCTACCCCTACTATTCTACCAATAAGGTACATCTAACATAAAAAAACGAGAGGAGTTACTGGAACTGCAAATGTTGGAAAATGGTAATACAGTGGCCTCCAGTTAGAGGGACATGTATACACCTAGAGTGCACCTGTGCCCAGACTATGGACAGTCACATTCATTGTAAATGCATTTTACACAAGCAGTGTTAGGGTGTTAACAGCGATATTTCCGTGTTTGCGGATGACACCAAAATTGGGAGGGTAATAGACACGGACTTAGACATTATAACATTACAGGAGGACCTGGATAAAATAGGGGAGTGGGCATTAATGTGGCAGATGAGGTTTAATGTCGATAAATGCAAAGTAATGCACTTTGGAATTAAAAATAAACAAATGGGTTATACAATTATGGGTATGCCGCTGGGGAAGTCAGAAATGGAGAAGGATTTGGGGGTCATTGTAGACCACAAACTGAAAGGTAGTTTGCAGTGCCAGGCTGCTGTAAACAAAGCTAGCAGGGTCTTGTCCTGTATTAAAAAGGGGATGTATTGCAGGGACAAGTCTATAATTTTGCCACTTTATAGATCATTGGTTCGACCTCATCTGGAGTACGCGGTCCAGTTCTGGTCACCAGTACTAAGAAAAGATGTCCTTGAGTTGGAAAAAGTCCAGCGGAGGGCAACCAAACTAATTAGGGGTATGGAGGACCAGAGCTACGAGACGAGGCTACTAAATTTAAACATGTTCACATTAGAGGTGAGGAGATTAAGGGGGGATATGATTTCCATGTACAAAATGTTCAATGGTGGTAGCAACATTAGCGATAAACTGTTTAAAATTAACTCCATTACAAAAACTAGAGGCCATCACCTAAAATTGGTGGAAAAAAAATTCCAGCACAAGGGGCGAAGGGGGTTCTTCACAGTAAGATCGGTTAGGGTCTGGAACCCACTGCCGCAGGCGGTGATTTCAGCAAATAATGTGGAATTGTTCAAGAGACTTTTGGACGATTTCTTAAGGGACCGTAATATACAGGGGTACGGGTACTCCTAGAATGAGATCCTAATAGGTTGGACTTGATGGACTAATGTCTTTATTCAACCTCAAATACTATGTAACTATGTAACTATGTAGCATAGGAGCTTTAAAACAAACCATCACTGACCTCTCTAGCTGCATGCACTATGAAGTAATGCATCTTTAAAGATGACAACATGAACTCCAAAGTCAAGTTTCATTTACTTTATAACTGTATCAGGCCCGGTGCAGACCTACGCGATTCGGGATCGCGCAGTCCTACACAATGCAGGCAGTAATTGCCGCACGGCCCGATTGATTTCAATGGGGTGACATCCTCAGGACAATCGGACCTAAAAACACCATTTGTGTGATTATATTAGAAGGCTGGCAGGTTGTCAATTTCCTGTTGCCATAGAAAATAAAGAGGACTAGAGCTGTGCCTCTGTCATGAAGATGTATTTCTCCACAATGCCTTTAGCTACAGAGTTGAATGAGGGCTTACTTTAAAGTAATTTTACCACTTCTGCAGAATATATAAATATTTTTTTATCGCCTGGACACATGTTCCCTTTAAATATGACTTCTGCGAGTGCTACCTACAATATATGACTTGATAGGTACTGCTGTGCAATTCCTCTTATTTCCACATGTTAACCACCACAGTAATCTGCCGCCCTCACATTAAAGCCTAGCTCCAGTTTTAGATAGAATGGGATGGAATGGGTTAATTCTGTTAGGTTTGTATTTTTGTCGGTGTCACTATTAGTGCGATTTTTCCACAGTTCCTATCCCTGCGGTGCAGGTATGAGAAATGGAAGTGTGAACGTCAACAGGGCAGAAAGGTCCAAACATAAAAATAAAATCATTCTTAGACATTGTAACCCTTACTCACTCTGCTAAAAATGTGTGTTTGTTTTTTGTGTGTCCCCACTGGAGAAAGTTGCCATTGCTTCCTGTCATGACATACAGGACAACAGGGACAGAGCAAAAAAAGCCTGACCGAGACTGTAGCCCTTTCTTATTCTATCTAAAACAAAATTAAAAAAATTGGGATGGAGTTTGCAAAAAATATTGCAATCCAGTGAGTTTTGTGGATTTCCACTACAATTTCCATTGTTTGGTTACATAAGACTGGGAAACAAAGTAAGTCATGGGTGTCTGATTGCCAAAAACTCCCTACTGTGTGGTCATCACAAGGCTGTGGTTATACAAGAGCACTTTGTCTGCAGTTTGCTGAAATGTCTCTTTCCATTCTCTACAAATTTGTTCACATGTATAAACATGTGAGATGCAGTTCAAAAATTCAACATTTTGCTATTTGACTGCAGTACTATACGTGCAGGGCCGGTGCTGCCACTAGGCAAACTAGGCAGCCGCTAGGGCGCACTGCTGCCAAGGGTGCAGCCTCGTCCACTCATCCTCACTTCAATCTATTTCATTTGCAAATGCCAGGCTATTGCACCCACCCACTGAGCAGAGGAGCGGTGCTGAGAGATAATGTTCTCTCTCAGGTCCGCTCCTCTGCTCAGTGGGTGGGGTTTTTGATAGCCAGTCTGCTATTGGCTATTTCAAATTAAAATAGCCAATAGCAGTCTGGCCATTTCTCCTGGCTGCTAACATTCACCTGTCGCTTGCGGAAGCTAGCCGGCAGGAGAATGGAGTCACGCGGGGGGATTGGGGATTGTGCCGCGGGAGGGGGTTGCAAGTAGCTGGTCTTGCCTAGGGTGCAAAGTAGTCTAGCACTGGCGCTGTATATGTGAAAATACAAAATCATACAGAAATGCCCGGTGCCACACTTTTGATGTTATTACTAATTAAGAAACTATGAAGACCATTCTACTTCTAAAATGTTTACCTACGTTGTAATAAATAAACAACCAAACACATTAAAGCACATGCTGAAATCCCACAATGATGAATGAGCTCTGTCTATTCTGCTGTTCATTAGAAGAGGTTCTTTACTAGCTACCACACTGGTTGTCATGTCCATGCTAGCCACAGACCTGCAGTGTAGCTGCACACTTGTTAGAATGGGCTGCTCACAGGAAGATTCTGTATGGCAGCCAGAGAAATAAAGAAGGAGACCTGATTAGAAGGCTATAAATGGCTCAGAGATTATGGTAATCGTGTGTAATCTCCTCATTGGCCTACCACTACACAGGATATCCCCCCTTCAGTCTATCATGAATGCTGCTGCTAGACTCATTCACCTAACCAACCGCTCAGTGTCTGCAACACCCCTCTGCCGAGCCCTGCACTGGCTTCCAATAGCCCAAAGGATAAAATTCAAAATATTAACAACCACTTGCAAAGCCGTCCACAACTCTGCCCCCGGCTATATCTCCAAACTTGTCTTAAAGTATCACCCTAACCATCCCCTCTGCTCTTCCAAAGACCTCCTGCTCTCCAGCTCCTTCGTCAACTCCTCCCATGCTCGCCTCCAGGACTTCTCTAGAGTCTCTCCCATCCTCTGGAAGACTCATCTCTTCAGGAAAGCCTATCCCATCTCAACCTAACCACTGAACCATCACATTCTCAAACAATTCATCCCCACACAGCTACCTCCTTATGTATCACATCCCCCTCCCTTTTAGATTGTAAGCCCTCAGGGGCAGGACCCTCCTCACCATCTTGTCTTGAATTGTATTATGATAATAATGTCTTCCTTATATTGTAAAGCGCTGTGAAAACTGTTGGCGCTATATACATCCTGTATAATAATAATGTACAGAGCATTACCTTGTCCTCAATCCTGAGATCACAGCCAGCTATAAGAAGCCTCTCCACTAAATCTGTGTTCTTCAGTTCAGCTGCTAGATGCAAAGGAGTCTGTTGCCTCTTTAAATAAATATAAAGAAAAAGAAATGATAAGCCATGATGAATATAGACCAGGGGAAAACTAGGCTGGGGACAGGGAGGCATTTTTCACCTGGGCAAGTACTAGTGATATGTTGGGATATTGAGATTGGAGATACTCAACCATTCAGTCCTCAATCAGAGTGGGATTTACAGTCAGTGGCAGTTGCTGGCCATTATATATCTACATACTCCCTGTTTAGATTTGTGGTCACAGCTTCTGCCAGAAGGAAGTCTTACAGCATCAACTATTTTGGTGGCTCTGAAATGACATGTGACTGAATGCCAAGCTGAGAAAGAAAGCCGATGTTGGAAGATGTGAAAAGGTGTGTCACAAAAGGCAAAGGTCTTTAGTAGGGATGCACCGATACCAAGTACCGTACTCAGTACAAGTACAGATACTGTTCGAGCCCCAAGACTAGTGTAGCGCTCACCACCGAAGGAGCTGCTGAATGTACCAGGTCCATATCTAGTCAGTCTAGGGATTGATTTCCAACTGCCCCCTTTAGCATTAACTGTCCTCATCTTGCTGCCCATAAATTGAGATCCACTCCAGTAGTAGGATGCTAGTTGAACAATTTTATTTAGCTTCTAATTAGGGAGAGAGGGTATAGGGTCTAGGTGCACAGGCCTCCTTAGCTCCAGACTCACCGGATGTTATCTTAAGGGAGTACATATCCACAATTCATGAAAGAACACTGACCCCGCTCTGAAGTGCACAAAATCCGAGGCACTTCAAGAGCCCGCACTGGTCCTGGTTCTTCCATCTTTCAGGCATTCTCCAGGTTGGAAGCCTCCAAGGAAACCTCTCCTTCCGCAACTCAGCCAATGCCCACCCCCCAGGCCTCTGCCTAGCCTGGGGGCAGGCCGAACAGGACCCAACCTTAATCTATGGCTGGTCCAGGCAATCAAACTAACCAGCATCCGAGAATTGAACTCTCCATGCTTCTTCTTCAAGAATAATTAACATTACAAGAACAAGATCAGTGTCTGCTCCTTCTTCCAATGTACAGCCTTATCTGAGTGCCAACACCTCTCCACCCCTGTGTTTATATACCCATTCATTCTTCCCTGCTCTATGTCCATCAATCCAGTTTCATATTCACGTGGAGAGCCTGCCTCCAGCTCTGTTGTCACCCACTCTGCTGTCTCCAGGCAGTCAAAATTACATAAGTCCCAGTTCTGCTCATTGCCTTATATTATTTTTGCTTGCTCACAAGGTGCTTAGATATGAGCCTGGAGCTGATCTCCTTTCCACCTACTGTGGTGAATGACAGTACTCATCTGCAGTGGCACATGCAGCGGAAGAGACGAGCGATGTCAACTTACACGTAACTGTTTATTTGTTTTCTTGCCAGCAGCCTGGGGCGATCGGGTAATCTGTCTGACCATGCTTTTCAGCGACCGCAGCACAGCTCGGACTGGGACCAAATGCTACATGTTCTTTGTCCCCCCTGGGGGATTCAAATACACTTCTTAAGTTGTAGTGATTTTTTCTTTTTTTAAATCAACATTCTACATACCCCATTAATGGCGTTAATATCATATCCAGCCTCCATAAAAACATCCACTATTTCAATATGATCATTCATGATAGCCAAATGGATCGGAGGGATCCTATCCTGCAAATAAATAGAGAAATAAATATATTGGGACTTACAAGGAGGTATCGAAAAAATATTGCTGAGCATATAGACTTTGAGCTGTTGCTACTTGATTTGAAGTTAAGATTTCTCTGCGAGTAAAATGTTTTCAGAAATAAAAGATGAAAAGCATGGGACTACCTATACAGTGCTGCTGGGCCCTGTACTATAATGAAAGTGCAGATTAAGGCCAATTAGTCTGCCATTAGTGTAATGCAATACAGTTCCTGTGATTCTCGTATAATTCTCAGTTATCCTCAGAGCCAAATACAGTGAGCATATTTAAAAAATATTTATGCATCAGATTTTTATTTTACTTTTCTATACTGAAAAAATCATAAACAATATTTAGTTGGTTTGAAACAAAGACATTTTTTTCATCCAGCTAAACAGCTAACTGATCAATGAATCACTAAAAACTGCATTGCATTGTATCTTTATATAATGCAATCTGTATTTAATTTTTTTTTTATAATACTTCATATAATACTATATTATAAACTATACTGAGGCTTGGGATAGCTATGTGTCCCAATGCTGATGTTGACAGCCTCAGCCAACTTTAGTCTTACAGCCAAGGCGGGTTTCCCACAAGGCCAACCAAGGCTCGGCTTCGGGGCAGCAGGGAGTAGAGGGGCAGCAGGGGTGTGGAATTCCTATCTCCAGACTTCCAGGACATGCAGTTCCGGGTGCCGGGCTGGTAGTTGCTTTCCACATTTAGCTCTGCGTTGGGCAAGTAGAGCTAAATGTACAGCAATGTTGCCGAGATCACTTGTATGCAGCCTGCAGGTCTGCCATTCTCCATTGGGGATGGGGGGGGGAGGGGGTTTGGCTGGTAGGGGGGCACATTGAGGAACCTGGCCTTGAGGCAGCAGAGAGAGTAAATCCGGCCCTGCTTACAGCTTCTAACACAAGAATATTTTTTAAATGATAGAGCCACTCTGACCCCTGACACTGCGAGGATTGGGAAAGGAAGGGGGGGCACAAAGTGTATTAGGAATCATCAGCGATGCCTATAGAGAAGCTGTTTTTTTCAGTAGCACACCATTGAGTTTACCATATTATTATTGCTTCAGCATAGATGACATTGTCACTTCACTGGTAATAACATCATTACTACAGCAGGGCCCAAGGCCATTATGGGGATCCCCAACTGTGCCGTAGCTGATAACATTTACAACACTGAGCTCCAGTTTTATATAATCACCCGACCATGTATAATTAAATGCAATAAAACATCTCTGGTATAGGGATGAGCCTATGTTTACATTACTTACATTAGGTTTTGGAGTCATATCAATGTTGTTCCTAATAAGAAAAGTGACCAGGGATGTGTGACCCTTTTCTGCTGCTATGTGCAATGCTGTGTAGTCATCCTGAAAATGAGAAATATTTTAAAAAGCACTATTTGCAATGCCACATTAAAGATCATGGTTGAGAATCATGTGCACAACTAGGTTTTGTTGTTTAAATCCATGTTCAGAACTGGTTACGTGATTTTCATATGGAAGAATAAAAATATAATTCACACAAGAAAAAAAAAACATTCGCAGTCATAGATCAATGTATCTGGGATCTAGTGGATTCAACATTGGACCTGTATTCATTTGGTGTACCGAGGCTCCTGGGGAAAAATGTGGTTATTATGCTGAATAATAGATAATTAGTCCTAGGGATTAGTTTAAAGTAGGGATGCACCGATACCAAGTACCATATTTGGTACAAGTACAAGTACAGATACTTTTCAAGCTCCAAGACTAGACTAGGGAAATATTCAAAAGTTAGGAGGCAGCTGTCATTTCTAAGGAGCACATGGAGCTCATGGGATTTGTACATCTCTGTTTTAATGTATGATTTTGTTTTTATAAATATAAATAAAGGGATGCACCAATACCAGTTTTGCAAGTACAAGTACTGATTAAAGTACCCCAAGTAAAGTAAGCCCAAGTACTTACAAGTACAAGTACTGATACATTTTTGTTTATTGTCATGTGACAGTTTTTCTAAAACAATACAGACTAATGATTTCAGGACAGTGGTGGAGCGCCAGAGCCCGGTCCCAGCTGCAACTTCTGCGACCCTGGTAGTTCTTGTGAAAATGCCAAGTGCCAAGTATTGGCACTGGTACTCGAAAAGTATCGGTGCATCCCTAGTTTAAAGGTCAAGTTAGTTTTGGGTTTAGCTTTTGGGGTTGTTTTAGGGGAGTGTAAAGCCAAACTGCAGCCATGTTTTAATATATTTTTAGTTTTGGATAGTAAGTAAGAGATAGACCCACTGTTTTTATTGTAGTATGTGTTCCTGTTGGGTAGATCCAGGGGGATCCCAGTGACACCAGCACAAGAATTGAGAGGGAGAGGGAGTACAATAAATACCTGACAGTTGTGTTAACCTTTCCCTACTTTACTAAATCTCTGTGCATCAGAGATAATTCAGCATCTCTCTGTTACTCAGGTAAATCTTCCCAATAAGCACAAAAACAGCAAAAAATCTGAAAAAGTTAAAGTGAAAAAAAAGAGTTTTGTCCTTTCTTTTTCACAGCATTACCAAGACTAAATGGAGTCAAGGAACATGAGAATTTCCTATGCTCTTTGGCTCTATCTAGTGGTGGTAATGCTGTGTGTACGGCATTCAATCAGCTATACGCTGAGATTTATAAATCAGCCACTATCTGTCCAGGGCGCACTTCAGGGGTAATTTCAAAAGGTGGTTAAGTTAGTTAGGTGGTCATTTTCTTTTGGTGTATCACATGTCAAGTATACTATTATTTAGCAGTGCATATTGTTCATTTGGCACATAGAATGTGTAACTGTCTTGCACCATCATCCCCTCTGCACTGTCTTGCACCATCAACACCTTCATTGCACCAAATATTGACGGACTAATTTTCTGAACCATTATTTGTTTGGTGCAAATTGTGAGACTTTTTGTGATAAGTCGCACTTGATAGTTTCTTTTACAGTCGGTGCAATAGTCATAGGTTTCTTTTCAAACCCATCCAAAAAAGGTTTCTGTGTGCCAAATATTTGGTGTACCGACAATAGTTTACCTGGCTCAATGTTTGTTTTTTTAGGGCTCTAAGGACCTGCTGCTATAAAATACCTACATAGGTTATAGTGTTGATGTTGCTTCCATGCTCCAGTAACTGATTGGCACAAGATTCGTGCCCTCCTTCCACTGCCAGGTAAAATGGTGTGGCCCCATTCTAGAGAACAGTAAAAGAGGACAGAAGGTCACACAGGAATGCACTTTAATGTCATGAAACCACAATGCAGCCTATAAGCCAGTCACCAAGGTAAATTAGTATTTAGAGCCAAATTAAAAGGCAGCCTATTGTGAATGGGCCCGAAAGTTCAAACCCAACCCAAATCCACCTCACGTTTTGTTAAGCAGGTCATGAGGCCATTTTAAAACCTCAGTGACCAACAGGAGGGCTGCCTGAATATGACAGCAAAAAAACTCCAGCCAATGGCCAACCTAAGTTTCAAGACTACAATAAGGTGCTAAACGAAAAAGACAGATACCATAATGTGTAGAAAAAAAAACCAAGACAGTTATAACCTTTGATAAGACGCCACACAGAGACATAAACAAAGAGCATTTCCTCCCATACTAAATACATAGAGCTCTGATCAACAAATGGAATAGGATGGAATACTATGGAGGGTTGATCTCATTCATGAATGAGTTCAAGAAAACATTGTCTAGATTAGCCCTTCTCAACCAGGGTGCAGGTTTCCCTCTGGCTCCTTCTGGCTTCCTCAGGGATGCCTCAAAGCATCCTGACTTTCCATGGTGCAGGCAGGTCGCCATGTTACTGCAATGGAAACAAATTAGCGCTAATCCATGGAGGGTGGATAGATTCAGAGATGGATTAATTGTGTGCGGTAACCCCTTAAAATCTATATCAGACCCCTATCTGGCATAAAAATCTGGTATGGATTTTAGACGGGCCACACAACCCTTTTTACTTATAGGTTTTTTACATTGTTGACTGAAGTGCTTTGAGATTCTGTATAGTTTTTTTTGTTTTTTTTTAGCATGTAAGCTTTATTGAAAGTTTTCTGGACAAACAGATCAATCAACAGTAAGGTAAATGTAATCATACATAAGTAACATTAACCTCCCTGGCGGTCTGATCATTTCATTTTTTTGTTCTATTTTTTGATCGTTGTTTTTTTTTCCCCGTTTTTTTCACTTTTAAAATTCCCGCCGGTTCCGCCCCCTTGCGACGTGGACGCTCGCAAGGGACGGAACCTGGAAGACGGATGCTGGCATTGGCCGGAGGACACAGCAGGGCTCGTGGACAAGGTAAGTAACGCTACGCTGTAATCCCGAGTGTGGCTTATGGTACTGAAAATTAACCCCGAGCCACACTCGGGATTACCAGCAAGGAGGTCAATAGTGGAGAACAATATTGAATACCTTCACAATCAATTCACGGGGCTTTTAGCGGGGGAAGTAGGCGGGGTGACGAGTGAAATATAGTGACAAGGAGAGTGACAAGTGGAGTCGTAGCAGTATTAGTAGCATGAATCCTATGTTGGAATGCTGAAGGACATCTAAGGCACCCAAAGAGCCAGCGGCCTTAGAGGCGAGATACTATTTCGTGACCTGAAATAAGGACATCACCTCTTTAAGCTGCTCTGGATCTAGTTCGGTCAATAGAAACGGGGTCTAGGTGGTAAAGAACTTAGTTGCAAGAGTTTGGTTGTCCTTAGACCGGTCCCTGGAGCTTCCTTCGCTGCAGCAGTCTAAGGTCCCTGAGTCATCATGTTCTATACACAGTGTATAGAACGTGAGGACATTGAGGGACATATCATTGCTGCAGCAGAGGAGGAGACAGGCTGGAGGGCTCGCTGTCATAGCCGGCCAGCTTCTAGGATCTTTTTTATATTTAATCTCAGAGAAAAAGGAGCACTTAACCCTTGCAGTGTGTGGGGTAGTCCCACAGCAAGGGGTAAGAATAATTTTACCCGTTGTTCTTTAAGTAGACAAGAATATGAAACTGTAAACAAACAAACAAAATCCTTAATTTTATGGTTTTAGTGTTAACTTTACATTGAGGTAGCAGGCTAACCAACACAGCTAGGTCATCTCTCTCCCCCTGGCCAGTAATTGGACAGTGTGGTGTACCAGGTAGATACCGAGTTCAGGCAGTCTTTATCTTTATCTTCCCATTTCTCCAGCAGAACTCTTATAACTGCATCGTGACCATTAGCGGCAGCCATATGAAGAGCCGTGTTACCATCCTGAAGAACAGAGGAAATAAAATTGTTTATAAAATCACACTGCATTATGAATGTGTTACAAGAACATGTCAAATGGGACATCGCTGTCTATATCAGTGTTATAGAGAGTATCCACGGACTGGTACATGCTGCATTTATGGTAAGATAATATATATGACATAGAGGTCAATTTCATTTTAAAGTAAGGCTGCAGCTTACCATAGACTGTAAAAAGTGGTGAGACATGTAGACATGATCTTTCAGCCTTTAATGCCCAACTGAAATGTCAGTTTATATGAGCTAAATACAATCCAGGTGCATCACAACAGATGTGCAAAGTCTTATGTGTGCTCTATTTAGAAATTTCAATGTTAAGCCTGATGAAGGGACCCTGCGTGGCCCCGAAAGTGTTTGTTTTTGTGTTGTATGTAGTGTTTGACATGGTTCTTATTAAATGAACACATGGTTATCCTGAAAGGATTTTTGGTTTGCTGGTAACATTTCTTCAATTGATTCCTATTTAGAAATCAGCCACAGCCAGGGTAGAAAACATTTCCCTTGCTAACACGTTACAGAGAAAGACCCTTGCTCTATGTGTGGAAGAGGCAGTCTCCCTGCAGAGGTCCAACACCCCTCCCAGACCAA